AGTCTGGCTCCTCAGGCGAAATATCTCCACCACCAGGCCCTGTCCAAAACTCGATTTCAAACGCCTTGGTCCTTTCCCTATCACTGCCATCATTAATCCTGTCACTTATCGCCTTGCACTTCCCTCCTCATATCAAATTCACCCCGTTTTTCACTCCTCTCTCCTTGAGCCTTATATTCCCAGTCCTATTCCAAATCGGGTCATTCCTCCGCCTCCACCAGTGCAGCTCGAGGATGGGTCTGAGTACGAGGTTCAGGACATCCTTGATTCCAAGATTTCACGATCTAAACTCTACTATCTGGTGGACTGGAAGGGTTACGGACCTGAGGAACGCACTTGGGAACCTGCGGACAACCTGATTCATTCTCCTGACCTTGTTCAGGACTTCCACCGCCGCTATCCTTCTCGTCCCAGTCCTCATTCTTTTTCTCCATCTCCCATCCCTCGCCGCTCATCTCATCCTCCTCTTCGTTCTCGTTCACATCCTCGTTCCACTCGTTCTTGAGGAGGGGGTGCTGTCAGGAATCCCCCAATTCTTGCCACATTCCTGACTCTCGCCGGATTCCTGACCTGCAGACCACATTCCTGACTCTCGAGACACTTCCCTATTCCTGACTCTCGAGACACTTCCCTATTCCTGACTCTCGAGACACTTCCCGATTCCTGAGTCTCGAGCCACATTCCTGATGATGATGTGGCGCCTCCTCGACCTCAGCTGTATTTAGGCCGTCCTCGATCCAAGAGTGGTGGAGCTTCATCAACCTATAGTATATATAGGTTAGCCTTGTTCCATTTCTCCACAATCTGAATCAACACCAGTCTAAGGCCTCTTCTTTGTTTTCACTAGCTTTTTCTCTTTGTCTTTAGCATTTTCCAGTCTTGATCTTGTTGGGGGTCTTGACAGCCAAAGCCACTTTCTTCTACTCCAGCACTCAGTGGACACATGCCACCTCCTTTTACCGGCAACCTAGCGACCACGCCGTCCTTTTCAGCTACTGCCTTCTTCAATTACTCTTATTTCAGAGATGGCCACCTTCTCAGAGTGCCACCACCATCTCGGTGCTCCACCATATCACTCCACCATATTGGTGCTGGAGCAGGCATAGGAGTAGGAGCGAGAGCAGGTGGTTACTAGTTACAGGTACCCAGTTACTGGTTACAAGTTACTAGTTACCGGTTATCAAACCATTGGCTTAACACTTTAGTGAGAGGCCACTTTTTTAGAGTGCCACCACCATCTCGACACTCCATCATATCACTCCATCTTTCATCATCTCTACACTTACCACCCTTGGGCAACACATCCCCTCTTCTACCTCTCTTTCTTTCTCGATCTTGGCCAATCCTTAGAGCATACCTAAAGTCATCATGAGGCTACATTTGCATATTACACTTTCCTATGTCAAAATCCAAGTACGAGTTAAGTTCTTTGGGTACTCACTCTTTTTTCCTTTATTTTTCTCCCCTTTCCACACTTTTTCTGCACTTTTTCTTCAACTTCAGGGTCCAATTTGACTATAGGGTTTCCCACCGGGTTTTCCTCCCTGTCTCTAAACTTCACACCTACCTCTTTTTTTTTTTTTCCACTTTGTTTTCTAAAGTTTCTACTATTTCACGCAGCTACCAGCACTTCGCATCAGTAGCAGAGGTACACTCTACACTCTTCAGCGGGTTCTCGCGTGTTTGGAGCCAGTGCGATCCACCGTGGTCGCATGTTAGGGTGTGGCCACCAAGAGAGTGAGAGAAAGAGAAGGAATAGTCTAGTCTTTGGAATATTCCCCATCTTCCTTGTATAAAACCCTTGCCCCACAAGGGCAAAAGGGGGCATTTTGTGGAGAGTATTGAAGCATTTCTTGTATTTGAGCAAATGTTGGGGGAGATGCCCCTCCTTCCCCCGACATCAGTTAAGCTAGATTTGATGTTGTGGGATTGATGTTACTCATACAAACTAGATCCACAACTCAATTATTTTAAAGCTAGAGGAGTGGTTAATTAAGTGAAGTTGCAATCTTTTGAAAAAAGAGATTGAAAGTCTAGAGAAAGCAAATTTTAAGCTGAAGACTTCCTTAAATGTTGTTGTTAATACTATTATACCACCAATGTCAACACTAGACTAGCATATATGATCAACTAAAAATGGAAAGGCTATACAATATAGGTCTTCCATTTCGAAAGGTACACAAGAAAAGATCAAACTAGGAAAAAAGTTGAGGTGCACAATCACAAAGATAAATTACATTAATATTGTGGCTAAGGAGTTTGTTATTGTGACTAAATCGTCAAAAAGTACGAGTTTACACTATCAAAATCTGCAAAAATCCATCCTATAGCTTTTCAGATTTTACATAAAGGGGCAGGACAAAGAAAAAGTATATTTCCTGCAAGCATATCTATTACATTTTTATGCAGGAACTAAACCATAAAAGCAATCTAAAAACTCTTCTCAAGCTTCACAATTGTAAAATTTGTCTAGTGGATGTGATGGTTGATCTTAGGATCTTTTTTAATGATAGGAGCCCAGGCAGGTTTTGAGCTCACGAGCTCATTTTTCAAACCTACCTGGGCTCTTGTCTTCACGAGCTGAGCTCACGACTTTTCAAACACAAGAAAAACATTGTTTTATCTTAAAATGACATTTTTTTATCTTTCAAATTTGATTTAATCTTTATTTCCAAGTAAATTCAACCAATAAAATATAAATATAAATATAGATCTGAACACTTGAGAAAAGTCCTATTTGCATTGAAGGAAATGGACAACTAGAAGAGTGAAGTCTTGAATAATCTCAAGAGAGAACTTTTTTAGCATTTGATTGGCCTTGGCTTGTGGACCAGTTGCAATTATAGACATATGCTTCTATTGCTATGTGGGTCTAAAAGAGTTGAAAAGATTGGCCTCATTTGTCTCATTACTATTTGTCATCATACCACATCTTCAATCAATTTGACAATTTGTTGCTACAAACCATGGTCGGCAAAGGATGATAGAGTCAACAATTGGAGCATATCATAGTGCTTAGAAGTCAACTGCAATGAAGTCCACATGCACTGAAATGACATCATTTTGGATCAAAATATCTCAACAAAATCCCATAGACACCACTATATAGTTTATAAAGGTTTTAATAGCATGGTTGTGTTTGAAGGAAAAATTTATAAAACCTCCACCAATGGAAAAGAAATCACATTTGTTATACAATCAGAGTCAAGAAGGCCTTTTTAAACATCATATCCTCCAATTGCAATATTTGCTATAAATAATTTGGGATATGAGTAAGATTTCAAGTTTATGACTCAAGATGTAAACTCTTGAATTTGTCACTCAGCCCAATACTACTCAAACCCAAAACATTTAACCCCAAAACTTTTAACTAATTGAAAAATAGGATGTATTTTTATTCATGGGCCTTTTCCATTTATATTTATTTATCAAGTCATTTTCGTTGATTTTTTATACCACATTAAGTATGGGAGACCTTATATAAGAGTTGAAGGGCTAGTTTGATGCTTGGCAAATGCTTAAGTCATTATGAGAAACCAAAAATTCTCTATAGAAGCTTGCTAAGAGAAACTAAGCACTTGGTGTCAACTAGCTATTGTAGAAAATACTCAAGCACATCTGAGTGTGAAGGAAACACCTAGTTAGATTTGCTATCAAAATATAGAGCCAATCTAAATACTTACATATTGAGAATTCTTGAGGATGCATCTAGTGTGATAAATACCCCAAAGAAGGATATCGTGTAGGCAACAACTTTTCCTATAACAGTAGGTAGCAAAATGCCAAGAATAAGAGACACTTAATTATGTCCCAAAGAAGCTAGAGATAACAAAATACTAAAGATTGGAGCAACACCAACATAATCACACCTTATAACATTAGAAGCTTGGTTTGAAGAGGATACAACAACAAAAACAACATTGCTAAGTGATAATATGATGCATAATTTATAATCTTAAATGACACACTCCTCAATTGATGATAGCATAGCATGGCAGAAAAGAGAATGTAATAAAGATAAAAAAGGAAGAGTAAATCTAAACACAGTAATAGCTAGAATTCTATATTAGGCAAAAACTTATAACATATAGAATTAAAAATTAAAAGCACAATCTTGAACACTAGAGTAAAACATACCAAAAAGCTTGTCTTTTAATTGCAATGCCCCTCACCTTCCCAATATAAATATTCAAGATATGGGAATAAATATATTAATTGAGGTTTAGATACACAATTCATATGCTATACTACTATAATTATATAATGCTGCCATAATCTTCCTCAGTTTAGATTAAATGAATCATTTTTCTTCCTGGCACATTGTGAGAAAGTGAGGAAGTCATACCTGTACACCATGGTCAAAATAACTCAACAGGAACATTCAAAAAGGGTGAAGGGGCTTGGCATATGCTTATGAAGTTCTCCAAGTTTCCATGCAGTGTTAGATGCAGGATGGAGTGTTAAGGCAATGACAATGCAAGTGATGTTCTTGCTCTTGCTCTAAGCGTGCACATAAGTCAGACTCCAAGAAACCTTGCCAAGTTGGAGGAATGTCTACTCTATCACACAGCTCTGCTGAGAAATCTAGAGAGAGTTTTGCCAACTAGCTAGAGTTTGGGATTATGCTTGCAAGCTCCCATATTCAACTATTATATTGTAATTTCTATGCGAGGCCTTGATTGCTGGATTCCGGGAGCAACTAGCAGATTCCGGGAGGAATTACTGTCCATAGAAAATGTTGATTCTGGTCTTTGTTTCCCATAACATAGTAATGTGTGCTTTTCATATTATAAAGGGGGCTTACAGGTTTTTGATTTTTTTTTCTAAAAACGAAGCTACTTTACAAGCCTTACCTCGTAACCAATGGTTGAATCAGCATGGGCAGCAATAATTGTATCATGGTTCCATAAAAACCTGTCTTTCTAATACTAATGTGAGTTTTAAGTACATGAGCATCAAAATTGATATCCTTTGGTTTAGAAGAAAATCACAACCGTGAAATGGGGGGCAAAGGGCTAAACGAGAAGATTCTAGGGTTTTGGATGGGCAGAGTAATCGTCTTGCAGCAGCATTCTCTTCGGCATTGTGAAGCAGTAGGGAGTTAGTGTATTCTGATCGATCGAGGTAGCGCCGCGCTTTAGCAACGTTTGATGGATGGATCGATCGATCGCTAGAAACGTTTCATGAGAGCAGCAAGATGCCGCGCCCTGGGATTGCGCCTGGCGAGAAATCTAGAACATCAGCGGCATTGTCTCGTAGAGTTCGATGGCGACCAAGTTGGAGATTCGTCTCAGGCATTGCTTGTGGTGCTCAAAGCCCTCAAGGCGTGTAGCAGCGGCAGGGATTTGGAAGCCGGCGAGAAGATTTACAGGCGGCACAAAGTCTTTTGCTCGGATTTGTTCGTGGCCACCGCGGCTGTGGACATGTTTGCGAAGTGTGGGAGCTTAGAACAGGCACAGATGATCTTCGACAGCATGGCTTTCCATGACGTGGTGTCGTGGAATGCCTTGATCCAAGGCTACGTCTTACATGGCAGAGAAGACTTTGCTCTCGATCTCTTCTCGCAAATCCAGACGTCTCGAGAAACCACACCGGATTCTCGGACTTTCATCGCGGCTTTGATGGCATGCTCGCAAAGAGCAGCGAAACAAGAAGATGGCAATGGTGGTGGATCGATCACCAAGGTTTCTTCACTCAGGATTGGAGTGTCGCTTCACTCGCAAGTTGAAAAGGCTGGATTTGAGTCCGAGGTTTTCGTAGCAAGCGCGCTGGTGGATATGTACTCGAGCTGTGGGAGCATGGAGGATGCTCGCAAGGTTTTCGACAAGATCGCTCCAGCTCGCCGTGACGTCGTACTGTGGACCGGCTTGATCATGGGATACGTTTCGAATGCACAGGCCGACGACGCTCTCAAGCTCTTCGAGTTGATGACCACCGGTTCATCACCTTGCCGACCAAATGCTCGAACTTTCGTCGCTGGACTCGCTGCCTGCGCGGGCTTAGCAGCAAAGGAAACAGCAAAGCTGGTCGAAGGAAGGCTTGTCAAAGTGGAGAGTCTTGCGAAAGGATCGCGGTTTCACTCGGAAGCCATAAAGCGTGGATTCGGCTCCGACTTGTTCCTGGCCAACTGCGCGGTGGACATGTACGCAAAGTGTGGAGCCATAGCCAGAGCTCGCCAAGTTTTCGATGGGATGACTCGCCGGAGTGTAGTGTCGTGGACTTCGCTCATGATGGGATACGTCGAGAATGGCGAGCCAGAGCAGGCACTCGACGTCTTCCAGCTGATGAAAAACGAGAGCCCCGATCCTCCAAACGCTCGAAGCTACGTCGCTGCGTTGCTGGCCTGTTCTGTCTTGGCTTCGAGAGAGCAGGGCAGGAAGATAACCGGTGGAAGCATCGTGAAGCTGAGCAGTCTGGAAGCCGGGATGAGTCTCCACTCTCAAGCTTCCAAGCAGGGATTCAGTCGCGACGTCTTCGTCGCGAATACTTTGATCGACATGTACGCCAAGTGTGGAAGCATGCAAGACGCTTGCGCGGTGTTTCACGGGATGACTCAACCGGACGTTGTCTCGTGGACGTCTTTGATCCTGGGATTCACTGCGAACGGACAGAGCAGGATGGCCTTAGAGACGCTGTCCAAGATGGAGGAGTGTGGAACTTGCGAGCCCAATGCACGGACTTACGTAGCCGGGCTTGTGGCCTGCGGGAACTTAGGTACCGAGGACCGAAAGCTCGGCATAGGAACGAGCTTTTGCTTGGAGATGGGACGGGAGATACACTCGCAGGTGGTGAGGAGAGGCTACGTCTCGGACGTGTTCGTGGTGAACAGCTTGATCACCATGTACTCCAAGTGTGGGAGCTTGTTCGAGGCTCGCCAAGTCTTCGACAGGATCAAGAGCTCTGGTGATGAGAAGCCGGATCTAGTCTCCTGGAACGCGTTGATATCCGGCTACGTCGACAATGGTGACGCCGAGGTTGCTCTGGAACTCTTCGCGCGGGTGGAGTCGCCGGACTCTCGGACTTTCGTCGCAGCTCTCTCGGCTTGCTGCGCCTTGGCCTCGAGAGAAACTGGAGAAGAAGCCGGGCTCAAGGTGAAGAGCCTGGAGAAAGGCATGGCGATACACTCCCAGGCCGTGAACATTGGCGTCTCCTCGGACATCTTCGTGAGCAACAGGCTGGTCGACATGTACGCAAAGTGTGGGAGCATGGCAGACTCGAGGAAAGTCTTCGACAGGATGGCCGCCAAGAGCTCGGTGTCATGGACGAGCTTGATATCCGGCTACGCGGACAACGGCCAGCCCGAGGTGGCTCTGGAGCTGTTTGAGAAGATGGTCGCCGAGAAGAGCTGCGAGCCGGATGCTCGGGCTTTCGTGGCTGTGCTCTCGGCACTCTCGGCTCTGGCATCCACGGAAGCTGGAGAAACGATCGATGGCAATGCCGTGAAAGTAGTCTCGCTGGAGAGAGGCCGAGCTCTCCACTCTCGAGCTCGAAGCTCCGGCGTGGAGCTGGAGAACGATGGCTTCGCTGCCAACGCGCTCATCGCCTTCTACTCCAAGTGTGGCAGCATGATCGAAGCTTGCGAAGCGTTTGAGGCGATCGATCGCCCGGACGTGGCGGCGTGGACGGTCCTCATGCTCGGCTACTCGGACAACGGGCAGCCCGAGATGGCGCTCGAGACGTTTGCTCGGATGCGGTGCCGTACGCAACCCGATACTTGGGCCATGGCCGCCGTACTGGTGGCGTGTGGCCAGGCAGTGGCCCGGGAGGCCGGGAGGAGCGTCCATGGCGAGATTCACAGGAGAGAGGAGGCTGCGAAGTGCCCGATCTTGGCGAATTCGCTGCTGGATTTCTATGCAAAGTGTGGTGCGATGGATTGCGCGCAGCGGGTGTTTGATTCGATCGCGGATTGGAGGGATGTTGTGGCGTGGAATTGCTTGATCGCGGGCTATGGGCGATTGGGCGATTCCGGGAAGGCGACGGAGGCGTTTGGGAGGATGCGCGAGGAGGGGGTGAGACCGAGCGCGATCACGTTTGTGTCGGTGCTCACGATGTGTAGCCACTGTGGGCTGGTCGAGGAGGGAAGGAAGTGCTTGGAATCCATGGCGCCCAAGTTTGGCGTGCATCCGACCGTCCAGCACTACACGTGTATGGTGGATCTGCTGGCCCGCGCGGATCGCGTGGAAGATGCCGTCTCGACGGTGGATGCGATGCCTTGCTACCCGGACGAGGTGACGTGGACGGCTGTGATGGGCGCCAAAGCTCGAGTTTAAAAATCTCCAATTTTAGGGCCACCAACTTCAAAAGCCCTAAAATTCCGCATGGAATCAGGTACGTCTTTTCTGGGCGCAAGCTTTTCATAGCGCTTGGTTTTAGGTTTGACTTCGGCCATGGAATTCTTTGGAACGCAGTTTGCTCGCTTCGTGGAATCCCAGCTCGAGAGCTTCAAGGAGGATTTGGTGTGGGAAAGCGTGAAGCATCTCGATGATTTCATGACGGGCAAGTTGCAAAAACACCAAAGGGAGATCCTACGAAGCCTCAGGCCTCTAGAGGATAGGATGACGGCCATGGAGGAATCACTAATGGCAAAAGACTTGAACCTGGAGAGAAGGTTGGCGGCCATAGAGCAATCCCTACGCACAGAGAAGGACCAGATCAAGTATAGCTTGAATGATGCCCAAATGAACGTGGTAGACACCATAGCAGATACCAAAATGGAGATTGACGAAGCATTGGATGATATGGCCCAAAGGATGGCCAAGCTCGAGAGGGCATTAACGTTGAAGTCATCGGAGAAATGGTTGGCGGATAAAGATAACTTGGGCACTACTGTTGCAGATATCACAGATGCTATAGCACAGCTCAAGGAGAAGATGGAAGAGCGAGACACTGAAATTCTTTCACTAGTAGCAAGTGTGAAGATCTCGGATGAAGAACTCGTAGCAAAGTTTCATATTGGTCTCTCCAATGTTCTTGCGCTAAAGGCACTGATCTGCGCTTGAGTATTGGATATTTGAATGTTTATATAATTTTTTCTGAATATTAATTTGATATTTTAAAATTTATCAATATATAAATAAACAATCATATTTGAAATTTTTGGTAATATACCAAGAATATATTGAATATTCTACCATCTAACAGTTGTTATTCATTGAGATTAATCTTGCATTTATAATTTATAAACATTCTAGTTTATTCTACTATAATCTTGTGTTCATAAATTATAAGCTTCCATTTGATTAATTAGATTAATAAATAAGAATAACATTACTATTAGAAAACCCAAATTATGTAGTAAAATAAGCTCTCAAATGAAAATTAATATTTTGAAAAAAATAAATTTACTTAGGACTTTTAATATTTAAATACTTAAAATTAGGGTTCTAGCCATGTGTGGCATCGGACTGATTGTCACTGGAGTGGAATTTAGCTGCGGGATCTCGGCTTCTCGATCAAAGGTATATAAGCGCTGACTGTGATGGTATCTTGATATTTTTTCTCTCAGGAGACGCCTTGTCTGGAGGATTTACTCGCCGCATTGCGAAGGCGAGGGCCCGATAGTTTTGGCGTAAGAACTGTCCGGCTTGGCACAGGAAAGATCGAGCAGCTGGAGAGGGATTTACAGATTTCTAGCGAGTTTTGGGAAGCTGGGAACTGTGGTGATGATTGGAGCTCTTCTCAGCATCAAACTGGCTCCAAAATCCAGGACGAAAGAGTCGATGAGCAGGATGGAAAGATCTACGTTCCACAGGAAGCTTTTGCGACCTTGGAATTTGTTGGCACCACTTTGCAACTTAGGGGATCTCATCGAGTTTGTCAGCCTCTACGGGACAGCGATGGAAACATCCTCGTCTACAATGGTGAGTTCTCATTTGTTTCTCTTTCCTTTGAGAGAAAATCTTTCATCTCTTTCGTGAAATCTTGTAGGTGAAGTGTTTGGAGGCTTGGAAGTTCTTCCAAGTCAGAACGACACCGAAGTTTTGCTGGAGAGGCTTGGAAGATGCGATTCGAGCTTTGGAGTTTGTCAAGCGTTGTCTCAAGTAAGAGGTCCCTGGGCCGTAATCTACTTCCAGGTACGTAGTTAGCCTTCAAAGGTGAATCTGGAAACGTTGTTTTTATCTTGGATGTGATCATAGGCCTCCACTCGGACAATATGGTTTGGACGTGATGTCTTTGGAAGGAGAAGTCTTCTCGTGCATTGGCCTTCAGTGGACGATCCACGGTTTCTTCTATCCTCCGTAGCTCCCTGTGACAACGAGAAGCTGTTCTACGATCCTTTTACTTTCTGGAAGGAACTTCCCTGTGGGATTCACAGTCTACAACTTAGCAATGGCGAAGTTCTCACTTGCAAGGGAGAGATAAGAACTCACAGATGGGAGGATCCACTTCTAGACAAGCTGATGCTTTGGGACCGAGCTCACTCATCACCGTCTTCTTTTTCTTCTTCGGCAGCTGTCGAACTCGCTCTGACTGCATTGAAGGAATCTGTGGAGAGGCGTCTCGTTAACAGCAGAATGAACGTAAAACAGGTATAGTTCTTCTCTTGGTTTTTCTTGGTTCTTACTCCGATTCATGTTAAAGAGCAGGCCAGAAGATGTGGAGACTCCTGTGGCAATCCTCTTTTCCGGAGGGATCGATTCGATGATTTTGGCTGCGCTTACTGATCAGTGCCTGGATCCTGCTTGTATGTTGTTTTTATCTTTACAATCATGGAAAGGCTCACTTTTTTCCCTTAACAGATACCATTGACCTTCTAAATGTTAGCTTTGATGGTCCATCGGCACCGGATAGAATTTCTGCGATCGCTGGCATTGACGAACTTCGAAGGATTTCGCCCTCACGCAAGTAAGTTTCTTCTTTGGATTTCTAGTAATCACGGCATTGCGTTGCAGGTGGAGACTTGTTCAAGTCGATGAAGACATAGGCACAAACGAGAGTACAATGTTTTCTCTTATATGTCCTTCAGAAACGTACATGGTACGCAAAAAGAGACCTCCAGTTTCGATTTTTCTTTTCGCTCTTGGACGACTTCTTTAACTTGGCAGGATCTAAACATCGGAACAGCTCTTTGGTCTGCTGCCAGAGGAGAAGGAGCCGTGGAAGATCACAACAAAGTCCGCATTTCTTACAAGTCAGCAGCGAAAGTCGTGCTTGTTGGAGCAGGAGCAGACGAGCAATGTGGTGGCTACTTGCGGTACCGCACAAAATTCAAGCTCGGAGGGTGAGTGATTGTCTCGTTTTCCATCCATAGCTGAAAGTTTTCTTCTTTGTCTTGCAAGATGGGAAGCGCTGGCAGCGGAGATGAGGCTGGACATGCAGAGGCTGTGGAAACGAAACCTGGGACGAGACGATCGCTGCATTGGAGATCATGGAAAGGAGGTTCGCTAGCTTTTTAAAATCTCAAAGAGATAATCTAGTCATTCTTCCAGGCTCGGTTCCCATTTCTAGACGAGAATGTGATCCAAACGTTCCTGGATATCCCTCTGGAAGAAGTTGTGGATCTCAGACAAGATCTCGGCATCGGCGACAAGAAAATCCTGAGACAGGTTTGGAGGAAAAAAGTAATCTTTCCAGCCTCACTTGTTGCTTTTCCCAGGTTGCGAGGTCACTAGGACTTTCTCAAAGCGCCAGTCTTGCAAAGCGTGCAATACAGGTTTAGAATCCACTTCTCGTTTTTTTCTTTCTCTCTGGAGATTTGCTCAAGCTTTCATTCAACTTCCATGCAGTTTGGCAGTGGCATTGCCAAAAAGTCCAACAGGCGCGACTTTGGGAGCAACCGAGCCGCAAACAAAGCCTCGGCTGGAAGCGTGAAGCTCGCGAATCTGGAATGATATGTTCATCCATGACAAGTTTGCGATTTCACGGAGTAAGAAAATATGGCCAAGGATAAACTGGAAGTTCGATTGATCCGGAAGAACTGCAAAGAGAAAGTGTTCATGATAAAAAGATTAAGAGCTAAACTAAGCAAGTTTAACCAAAACCCACATCCACGTGTCAATACACGTGTACTTCTGACCTATCCCACATGCCGTGGTATGGAATGAAGCCACCAAAAGTGGTATATAAACTAGGGTTATAGGAGATGAAACATACTTACCTGGACGGGGTCTATTGGTGATCATTAAGGCCAATGGCCTAGGTTTGGCTTTCCCATTGCACTTTGGCTTGGCCGACCTACCATCTTCCCAAAGTGGAGGAATGGACGTCATAATTTGTGGAAGTTGAGGGCTCGCGTACGCGCGGCCCTCTCCAAATATAGAAACCCTAAGTTGGATAAACCTATGGAAGGTTTAGTGTTGACTATAAGTAAACGAGTGTTGACTTTAAGTAAACGATAAACCTAAGCCCTAATGAAAAAGTTAAAACTTTAGGGCTCTTGCATTTGACTTTAACTAGAGCATTAAAACGATTCTATTCGAGAAAATAGGGTTCTCTCTCTCCAGGGACAAGGAAAGGGTTTTTGAGCTCCAAGGCCGCATTTTGATGGAGCGATCATGGAAGAAGGTATGATCATGGAGCAGCAGCCGCAGCAGCAGGAGGAGAATGGATTGGATTCTTCTTTCTCGGCTCCTAGGAATTCCAAGAGGCAGCGAAGGCCGAGTGTGCGCTTGGGCGAGATTGGCGACGTTCCCCTAGCGTTGTTTCTCGAGAATCGGCCTTCTTTCAAGAGGAGGAAGAAGCGCGCGGCGGCGGCGGCCCAAGTTTGTCCCTCTTTGCTGCCGGATGTGGTGGAAGAGGAGGTGGAGGATGATCCAACCGCGGTGGACATGACGGGCTTCCATCTCCAGGAGGCGCTGGAGTCGCCGCCATCGAAAACCAAGGCTTTGGAGCTCGTCCACGATGCTGAGGAGAGGAAGAGCGGTGAGAATGGGAACGAGGCGGAGATGATCGAGCAGGCGGCCGAGGTGGAGGAGCACGATCAAGCCGCCGAGAATGGCGAGGACGAGGAAGAGAAAGGTGGCGGCGGCGAGGAGAGGAAGAGAGGCGAGGAGAAGAAGAAGAAGAAGAAGAGGCGGCGGCTAGGGAATGGTGGTAGCGGTGGGAAGAAAGGGAGGAAGAAATCCTCCTCTTCTTCGTCTTTCACTGTCAAGAACTGGGGAGCCAGGAAAGTTGTGGCGGCTGGTGAGGAGGATGGCTCGAAGAGCTCGTCGCTGGCTAAAGAGAACGAGGAGATTGGCGCCGAGGTGGAGGCTCGAGAGAGCAAGGAAGAAGAGATGGAGGAAGCGAGGGAGGAAGCAGTAGAAGAAGAGGAAGAGCTTCCGCAGGACCAAGAAGAGCTCGAGGTGGAAGAGAAGAATGCCTCTCAAGGTCTGTTTGATCAGGCAAACGAAAGCGATGCTTTGGTAGAAGCCATCGATCCGGAGGAGCGATTGCTGGAAGAAGGTGATGGTGGCGATGGTGAGAACTTCCCAGCCAGCGGAGTCCGGGAAGAGAACCAATCTCGCCAAGTAAACCGAGAAGAAGAACGCGAAGAAGAAGTTCCAGAGACTAGGACGCAGCAAACCACGAGTAAAAGTGGTGAGCTCAACCAGGAAGAGAGCTTCGTTTTGCCGGAGCTCGTAAGAAAGTGGCTCGAGGAACGAAGGTTGGCCAAGTATATGGACGTGTTTGAGCTCCATGAAGTGGACGAGGAGGCTCTTCCACTGCTCACCATGGAGGACTTGCGAGAGATGGGAATCCACGCCGTGGGCTCTCGCCGGAGGATGTTCCACGCCATCTTGAGCCTCTCATCTCGCAGCTCGGATTGAAAAAAAAAAAAAAAGTGGAAGGACGAAAAAAAGGCTCGAAAGCATCAAAAGAGCGTCGAGCAAACAGCTTCCTTTGTAACAATTCCCAGGTACATTGTTCGTTGGCTATTCCAGATTAAAAACCACGATATGCGTTTTGTTTCACCGATCATAGAACTTTCGTGTCCCCTCCAATATGTACACGGTCCTTCCTCCTTGGTTGTCTCTCTTTAAGTTTGTTCTTCGTCGTCTCGAGAGAGCTACGATGGAGCTGCCAAAGTTTCCAGCGATCCTGCTGCTGCTCTTCGTCTTGATCACAGGTTTAATAGAAAACCTCTCAAGATCTGATGTTGAACTTGAAAAAAATCTGCTTTTTTTTCCCAGGAGTTGCCCCATTCCTGCCTCCATTTGAGTGTAAGTCTCTGTGATGTCCTCTCTTGTTCATGGCGCTGTGACTTTGGCCTTTCAGTTGATGGCTCTTGCCCTGACGAGTGCATGCCCAACACCATCTTGGAGTGCGACCACGGCTACCTCTCCAAGAGCTGCACGAACTGCTGTCGACTCCAGGGGACGTCCTGTGCGCTCATCTTTCTCAACGGGACAAACGCCTGCCGGAGCTCCAGATTCACGTCCTGTCCCGAGAGCTGCTTGCCAGCTCTGGGATACAAGTGCCGGGATCCACTCTACCTCTCTCGCTGCGAGAACTGCTACCCGGGGTGCTCCATTTTCTTTCCACCTGGTAGTCCATGAAGAAAACTCAAACGTTAAGTTGTAACCAAAGCTTTGAAAGTATCACCTTCTTTGATGTGTTGTTTAGTCATCTAGTTGTGAAAGAAGAGCGACTCCTCGCTTCACCCAGTGAGCCTGCGGCATGTTGGACGGGAGCTTCACTTCCATGACGAAGTTTGTCGAGTGGCCGGTCGTGGAAAGGATACCCCTTCGATCACTGGTTTTGTACAGCGGAGACAAGTAGTGCGGATAGTTGCCGAATTTTGAGAGCTCCGTCGGCACCAGCCAGAGGATTGGACATGGCGAGTAGAGAACTTTTGGCTCCGATTCGCCCAGATAATGTGTGTTGTAATCCCATCTAGCTCCTTCCAAGAACAGACCACGAACGTACACGCCAATCTCTGGCTTTATTGTACAAGCAGCCTGTTTGCAAAGTAACATAGTTTCATTAGTAGATCCAGCAAAAGGAGCTCAGCTTACCGGATCCTCCATAACTTGAAACTCAAAGTCGATCATATCAATGGGAACCTTGGCAGAACGAGCAAAGTTTTGCTTGGCTCCGGTAAGAAACGACTGTGTGAAGTTTAAACCAGATAGCCAGTAGACGCTGGGAGGTCCATTGACAACCCAGTCGTGGAAGAACGCTACTCGCTCCAGCAAGTCCGAGACGTAGCTTGCAAGCGGCTTTCTCGACGGATATGACTTGGCAGCCCACATTGCCGGTATCTTACCATCCAAAAGGCTCCTCCCAAGTTGGTCTAGTTCCGCACTCATGACAATCAACCCTTTCACGGCCTTCTGAAGCTCGAGAAGGCTGGACCGAATTATACTAAGCAGCTTGTTAAATCTTTCAAGCTCCTGCAATTTGGAAAGTAGAGTGAGCGAGAGAAAGAGAGAATCATATAAGTACCTGGCATAGCACCGTGTTCATGGACTCGAGGTAGACAACGGGGTATTTGTTCTGGACAGCTTCGATGTCAAAGTTTCCAGGAAGCTTTCCCAGGATATCCGACGATATTCCCAGCATAACATCATCCGGAGACATTGCTGGTGCTCCACCTTTCTTGGATGACCCGCCTTCTGAGGCTGCTGGTGATACTAAAAGCAGGGAATCAAGAAGCCGGGCCGTTTCGTTCAAGTCCTTGCTTATGGTAGCGTTGTCGTGAAAACCAAAAACCTCGGGGCGAGGCTGATTCGGAAGTCTCTTAATGAACTCCAAAAAGTTTTCGTAGGTGCCTGTGAAAGGTGAAAGTTTTGATCACAAACAGTTGCACCTTTTGCAAAGCTTACCATCAGGAGGAGCACGAAAAAGACCACTTTCAGAGAAAGAATAGTTATCGTCGTGAACAGCATCACAATAAATTCCTTCCAGTATTGTGATGAGTGTTCTTCGGTCGTGATCGTCAGTAACTCGACCACCATAATTACACTCTCCAGTCAAGTAGTTGAGAGCCTTGTAAGGAATCTGCACAAGTCATGTCAGAATGAATATGTAACTGTTTCACGTTGCAGAGAACGGAAAACTCACCCTGTCGGGATACTCTTCGATGAACATCTTCAACTGTCGTACGCTAATTCGCAAATCTGATTCGTTGTACTCGTATGGGATGTTCCAACCCAAGGGTCCGAACTTTCTCCGTTCCTAACATCATAAAACATCTAAGTTCAAGAGCGAAAATATCATCACGATAAATGCATACCTGAACAAAAGCATGGAAGAAACAAAGTCCATAGAGCATTCTTCGCCACTCGGGACCTTTCGAACAATTGCTGAAGAAGTCAATATCTGATATCGGATACATGAAGTAGCTGCCGGTCAAGTTGGCTTTGAGACCATTCGGAGGCTCGTTGGTCATCTTCACCGCATTCTGAAGGATTGCTACTGGAAACGCGTCCGAAGGATAGCTTGTGAGCCAGAGCCTGAAATCTTTGTGTGTTTTCTCTTTTGTAAGCTCGTTCTCCCAGTACTTCTCCAGCGTGGCCATCCAGGAAACAGCCAGATGACAGTTCTGGAGCGCCACCCAAGAGCCTTCCTTTGCTGCGACGTTGAGAATGGCAATAGCTACTGGGCCCTGTCCCTGTCCAAGCGAGACCGTCTCTAACTTAGCCTCTTTATCCGCTGCAAGCTTGAGAAGCATCGACATTGGATCTGAGCCGGGCGATAAAACAAAGACGAGTGGCGTCGTAGCTGAAGCGTCTTTGTAGCAGCTTTCAAGGTTGAGAGGCAGTGGTTCGATAAACTTTGATCCCAAAGATTCAGCGACATAATTCGCCGTAGCTAACACAAGCTGGAAGGAAGCCGGGACGAATGCAATGAAGTAAAAAGCAGCAAGTTATTCAAATATACCTTGTCAGGCCGAATGCACCGCAACACTACCATCTTTTGGAATGAGTCGAGCTCAATATTCCAGGGCAAAGGAAGTGGTTCCATCTGAAATATATAAAAAAACAATAAGCTGTTTGTCCAACCAGCAAGACAACGTACATGTGGTTCAGGACTATCAAAAATGACTCGCCACTTGTCTGCTTGCTGAATGATGTCTGCATCCAAACCGCTAAAGGCTTCTTTCTGTAATATGAATGACTCTCAAGGATAGTCTTCAGCAAAAAAAGAAAAATGTACTTGTGAAAGCCGATAAAGTTCGCCCCACGCCTTGTCGCTAAGCCATGCAGTGGCTTCACCCGCAGGCTTAGCTGGCTGTTTATCAAGAGCAATGCCTCCCGTCATGAAAAACCTTAGCTGAAAGTGAGAACGAAGCATTGTTAGCGGTTATCAAAACAAAATTAAATAGAGTTACCTCGTCAAGACTCAGCTTTCCTTCAGCAGAGAAAAGCTTCACTGTCATTAAAAAGACGAACAGAAGTTTGTCCTTCTCAAACAAAGAACGGCAAACATTGCAGTAGAGGGTGTACAGAAAGTGAGCGTTTAAAATCCTGAGCCGTGCTCCGAGATCGGGAGATTTCTCACTGTTCATAATGGAAAACTCGAACAAATCTATGAACCATGGTAGCGAATATTGGTACATCGGCTCAATATTGGCCATGTCTGTAACAGAACAAGTCATTAGAACCGATTCATTTTGAATGAGACGTTCTCACCTGAAACACAAAAAAACAAGATCGCTGTTACTTTTGCCACCGGTTTGTATCCGCTACGTGCATTGTCAATTTTGACCTCCGTTTCTTCGGCAATTTTTTGCTTGGCGGAAATATCCTCAGACAAAATTTTGGATTGTGAAAGAACCTGGGTAACGTATTGTTTAGACATGATATAGTTTGAAAAAGCTTACCTGTATTCCAGTTTCATCTTCAAGAATGTTTCCTTCTTGCGACAGAACCTCCAGCGTTTTATCTTCAATTTCCTTAAGCTGCTTCTTATTGCTCGCACTCTGAAGAATCAGCTGATTTTTTTCTTCCTCTAAGTCCGGCCGCTCCTTCGCAACAGCTATTCCAAGAAGCTGATCGAACAAGCCTTCCGAGGTAATCATAAAGTTGAGTAGTGTGACCTGAAGAGAATCGTTAAAACAAAATAAGAATAATGCAAGGAGAGACCACCTTTGCGGAAGTTTCGGGACTGTAGTGAGGGTTCCGAAGTTTTGTTGTGAGATAGAGACGGAACTTTGAGGAATACTCCAACGTGTTATCTCCTAGTTTTATACACAGAGTGCCACTCTGTTTAAATGTTAGTTGCAATAGAATAGGTTCAATAGCTGGATCAAGTTCTTCGCCAACGTTTTCAACTAAGACAGGCTTTCCAAACTGTAAAGTGCCCAGTTCAACGAGAGAAAATTTAAAGTGAGGAAGGAGCAACCTGAATTCCAACTTCAAGCTTTCGCAAGAAGTCATTGTCACTGAGTTTTGTGATTATGAGGGCATTGCTTGCTTCAAGATTTTTTATCCACTTGTTAGCTTGACCCTAGAGTACCACATAAGGTTGGTTAACCACGCACGAAAAAATATCATACCTGAGGATCAATCATCAAGCCCCATCTACGAGCAGTTTTGATGATTGTGCCGTTGTCAATCGAGCACTGGTCTTTTGGTAGACCACAGATGTTCCACGCTCGTATCTCTACAGGATCGGCAAGGATATTGCTGAGAACAAAATCAGTAGAGCATGGGATCTTTTTCCCCTTGCAAACAGCTAGCCAGTCCTGCACAAACATTTCCACGATATTATTTCGATTCTTAGCTCCCGTTCTAACTTACCGCAACTGCTTGATCTCTAAACGTCGGAGTAAACACACCGAGATAAGCTATCATCCCAGCCGACAATAGAATGTCCCCGGTCAATTTGATGTACGTTTCTCCAAACATTTGAGCCTGGGCTGTCCAGCGAGTTTTCTCACCCCCGAGACCAGACATGAGCTGGTTTGCACGGGTAATTTTTGTTGCGCACAGACTCGCTTCATCTTCAACCGTTTTCTTTTTAAACTGTGCACCATTTAGCTGCGCATCTAATTCTGCCAGCCTTAACTCGACCTGCAGTAGTTATTTCAGACGACAAGTATATAAGAACTTGCAAACGCACCTTTCGCAAAGACGCCTGCTTCACGCGTAACGCAGACATGACTTCCTCGTATTCAGCTTCAGCAATTTTAAGTGCTGCTTGTTTAGGTGCCACCACTTTTGCTACGCGATCATAAGCCTCCATTGCAATGATCCACGAACAAAGCCCGAATGCAGCTTTTGAAATCACAGAAACTTTAGTTGGCTCCATGTTAGGATTTGCGATGTAACTGCATTTTTCCAAAGTTATCAGCCAACGGTACTAATCTTCACAATAAGCTTACGGTCGAATTTTCGCGATGATTTCGACGGAGATGTTGTCCTTGTCATATTCTCTCAAGCTCTTTAGAAAATCAGCATCCGCCAACATCTTTTTGCTACTTTCCCAGTAGTCCTCAACCATCTGCAACTTTCGGTATGAAAAAGATGAAGATCTCCGGTGCATACTTCACCTTTCCTGACCCTCCTGGGTCTTTCATGCGAGTTGGTTTTATGCTTTTCATGATACAGACTGCTTCCATGACAAGCTTTACTCCCGCAGGTGGACTTTTCATTCCTTTCAGCTCTGATATGTCGTTTTTACTCAAAGTGTCGAGCGCCTGTGATAATTAGCTTAAGTTTGTAAGCATGAACAACAGGGAAACGTACCTTGAGAGCAGCTTCTAACATGGGCATTGCGGCTGCTAGTTCAGCCTCTGTGTCATCCTTAATTGCTTTCGCTTCAGCGGCTTTTATGCTTGCTGCAGCTTCTTCCACTAACACAACTTCCCTGACTTTATTTGCCTCAGTTGTTTCTGTATCAATGACCTATTGAAACGCGATCCATCAATATAAAATCTCGGAGCTAAAAGATAGAAGGAGGAACCTGAAGCAACTCAGTAACTTCAGCAGTAGATTGCACTAGCTTAGGCTGGAGTTCCTCCAACTCTTTCTGCATCGTGTTCACGTCGTTTGCTGAACTCTCTAGCTTTTGCAGTCCCATTTCATATCTGCCATTCGCAATGTCAGAATCTTCTAACTAACATATACATGTACCTTTTCTTAAACCCGCTGACTTCTGCCTGCTTTTTCATTAGCAATGACTTAAACAAGTTGATGAGCTCAAGGAAACTTGTTGGTGTAACATATGAGTACCGACGCATTACAGTAAAATATTGAAGTGAGAGGTCCTGAGCGAAGAATTTATAAAAAAAGAGACATATTTTCAAATAGTAAAATACCTGCACAGAAATATGGAAGTGCACTGTCATGTCTACGAGCCCCGGAATAAGCTTATCATCCACATTTACGTCGTCCAGAAATCTAGCTGCAACTGAACGTAATGCCTGGAAGACCGACACATAAGTAACTTGGTAGATCTTGTGCAAAACTTACTTCTGTTGGCCAACCGCTAAACCAATCAATCGTGCAACAGTTCACTAAAGATGGGAACTTCCGTAATCGATCTCTGAAAGCTCCACCAATTGGACTAAAAGCCTGCAGACAACTATGTTATTTCCTCGATGAAACACCAAATTTTACGTACCAAAGCAATTCGCATGTTCTTAGAGCACTCGTCTACAAAGAATGCGTATAGCTCTGCACGCGATCCATCCCTTTTTGCGCGTTTTGCTCGAGGTCGAACTGCCTCACAGATGGAACTTAAGTCTGCGGAGTCATAAAGATTTGGAACCTGTAGAACTCTCTAGGCTTCAGTAAAATAGCGGATATTGTCAAATGACGCTTACCTCTCCCGTGTTAAGCAGTGAATTTATATCTTCTACAAATCCTTCCATTTTAATTTGTGTATCAACGAAAAGGAACATGACGCGCTTGTCCGCTTCTCCAGCTTTCCGCAACATTTTTCCTAAATCCTCCCTCCATTCGGACATGCCATAATTTTTCGCTATTTCAACCTGCGTTTAAATATAAAAAGCAGATCACACGAGAAAGCGGGAGTACCTGAAATATATCAAAGCCTTCAATAAACGCAGCTAGTCTTGCAAAACTTTGTCTCCCACTACCACCAACACCTACAAGCAATGCATTTCCTCCCGGCTGCTTAATCACGCGGCAGATACGGGATATATGTTGAATAGCAAACTGAAAAAGTACTAGATTCATTTGCTTCGTATTAACTTGGTTATAGTCCTCCAAGTATGCTTGCATAACACGCATAAGCCCCTCCTCGTCAGTGATTTCGTCGTACTGTAATTTTCAAATCGGACACAAGTTTAACAAAAACTTTACCCAAACTTACTTGCGCAGGATCTGCCCCGGGAACCATGAAATCTCCTGCCATAAAATACTTCATGTTTCCAGGACTGCTATCCCCTTTCTTGATTTCGGAATGAGTAAAGCTTGCAAAGACTTTTCCATAACGTTCTTTGTAGTGCTTCTCAAACATTTCCGCCAGAAGTTCGCAAAACCAATCTCTGTCCTTATCGTTGATAAGGCGGTCGTAAAAAATCCTAAGGCATTCATTAGCCCATAGTCGCATGATCTTGTACACATTGTCGGTCTCGGCTGGCGCAAATTGCAGGCCCAGAAACACCTGCACGACAAAAAATGAGATATATACCACAAAATAAAAATCGTACCTTGGAAAGATCACGCAGATTATATGTATAGTGAGACTTCTCCGGAGTGGGGAGAAGCTCACGCTGAACAGTCTGATAGATATCAATTGTCGCAGCAATCATAGGAGGCCTAAGTTTAACCACTTGTGGTGGATATCTGGACCTCTTCATCCAGAAATCTACCAAAGAAGAAAATATCCTGCAAAAGACTTTGTTTGTTAATTGTCACAAAGAGGAGATCCCGTATACCTGCTCAATGTGGCGTCTGAAAATGGAGTAACACATATAACGTTAAAATGACGTAAATAGCGATTTGTGACTGCGTTTCGTCCTCCTCCAGGAGGAGCCATTGCAGATATAAACTGAGTATCTATGATGTTTTTGAACGACAGATCATTTCGGTCGTACCTGAAAAGCAAGATCACAGTTAAGTCAGACAAGCAAGAGCAATATAAGCGTAAAAACTTACCATCCTTTGTGATCCATCCATTGCCTCAGCAGTTCAATAGGTGGCTGAGCGCCGTATTTCTCAAGAGCAGGCATACTAAGGTCGTCCACAAGAATTATGCACTGCTTTCCTTTCTGCGGCCCAAAGATTCCTTGTTTCCTTTTGACGAGCTTCGAGTCAATGATATCCTGCGTCTGGTTAGCACTTGTTTGCGCAGAGAAGTTGAAAAACATGGACTGAAACCTGTTCAACGAAACGTCAATGACAAAAGAAATGGAATCGCAGAACTTACTTCGACGTATCCAGCTTCATCAGGTACTGCTTGACGTATTGGCTCTTTCCGGTGCCCGTCGGGCCAACAAGCAGCAAAGGGAAGGTATGCATCACCAGCTCGTTTACCAAAAACAAATATTTCACCGTATCCGCGGTCGAAACTATTATCCTTGCAAAGTCGGCCTCGGGACTTGGAGGGGTCTCGTCGACGAGATCGGTCCACGGAACCCATTTTGCTCTATCTTTGTTGAAAACAAAATCGTAGACTAGTTTACCATCTGGAAAATTCTGGGCCACTTTTCTTGCCGCGGCAACTATGTACTGCTTGTAATCCTCAGGTGGTTGGTTGGCCTGTTTATTGAATGAATAAGAAACTGATAAAATTTCAGCTTTTATGACTTACAATAAGCTTGCGCAGAAGCACATCGAACTTGGGGCGATCTGCGTGATCCGTGCAAGCACCAACCGCCCAAACCAGTGCAAACAAAAATATGCTGTCCACCCAGGTAGCCTTCAAGTTGCCATCCATTTTCTCAGATTGAACCTCTGCACAGCAAAACAGGAGCATCACAACATTATGAACAAAAAGGAGGCTTTACGTACTGTCCGTCAATTGCGGATCCATGAGCGACCAGATAATGCGCAGCATGCTCTGCACCATGTTTTGCTCCTGCATTCGACAATGTTAACAGAAACAAAACAACAAGATTTCATACCTGCATTGCAATAGTCAGCTTGCAATTTTTTTGTACGCAACGTAAGCAGGGCGGTAGCAGCCACTCGCACAGTTTTGAAATCTGGTCACTGTAGCGCCCTTGTAAAACCTCTGGCAAAGCTGTGAGCCAAGATGTAACAATCGGCCTCCATCCAATCGCCGAAGGTTCTACATAAACCATTCCGCATCTAGAGACAGTTGCAGGTGAGGCCGCCGCCAAGTCCTGGACTTCAAAAATTAAGTTCATCGTGCCAGACATCTGGATAATCTCTCCGCTCATGAGACAAAGCTTCTTGTTATCATCTAACACCTGCAGAAAAAGATAGTGAGAACTTTCTGTAAGTAGGACCATTACGTTACCGTATTCATGTTCTCGATCCAGATTGCATCTACAGGCCCATCGAAAATAAGCCACTTTCGATTTGGAGTAGTGTCAGCCGACTGGTTTCGAAAAGTAGTTGCAAGAACCCCGTCTGTCCACTCATGCGAAACGGGGTCAAACTGACCATATAGTTGTCCCATCGTGATGGACTTCGGATTTAGAATATTATACCTGCATACTAATGGACAGGCTGCTTTAGCCATTCAACAAAATGTAAGTAAAAAAACAACATACCATGTTACTTGCTCCAGGTTTTGCTGATTCATTTCCGTCAAAGCATCCGCAAGAACCTTGTACATGCAGGTTTTTGCTCCAAACGAATATCCAACAATCATCAACCCGTGCCTCACAATAATCATCTCGTAGAGTTCTAAGATTTTTCGTATGAATGGTTCGATGGGTATCAAATTCATCTTGACGCAATTGTTGTTCAAGGCCAAGAGAATGGCATCATAATCCGGCTTTGGAAGGACCTGACAAACAAAGAACAAACAAAACAATACAAAACAACGAAATAAAACAATAACCACATACCACGCCGGGAAACAGATCAGCCATGATTCCTTCAAACAAAGGTATATCATGAGACAAAAATTTGGGAAGGTTGACATCTCGAATAGCTCGAAGAACGAGCACGGACTCGTCCGCATCTCTGTACTTCCTTTTCAAGTTACCCGCAGCTCTGAGCACGGCTATCACCGCACGCATACCATAATCATAGTGATCCTGTGAATACATGATTACGAAATTCCAACTACGTCTATATACTCCTTACCTGAGAAGACAACTGCTCGCTGCAAAGTCTGTAAGTTGCCACTAGCTTACGCGCCATATCTCGAGCAAGTCCATACCCAAAAGAATACAAAATAATCTCCCTACAAACCGATGATATGAGTAAAACCAAAAGTTTCATAAAGAGTTGCGTAGTTACCCAATCATCGCATAATTTGGAACCATCATAGCCACCGGCCGGAACAAAGCCTTCAAATTGTCTGGCAGCTCTGACCGTCCGGCATAACCTGGATTCATGGTGATGAACGATGTGCAAGTGGGAATAAGAGGAAGATCTGTTCCCTCGAACATAAATCGCTTGACACCAGCCATAATGGCTCGTTGAATGGTAAGAATTTGCTGAGCAATGACGGAAAGCACTTCCAGATCAATACGATTAAACTCATCAAAGCATGCCCAGGCACCAGAGGCAGCGAGACCTTTGAAAAACTTCCCCATTGCAAGGTAGTCTAGACCATCTGAACAGTTGAAAACAACGCATTGCATCGCAAGGGCCTGCACAAAAAAGGCATGATTGTTGCAAAAACGTTATAAAAAGTGTACCTTTGCAAGATCTTTCGTTGTTTCTGTTTTCCCGGTACCAGCAGGACCTTCGGGAGCTCCTCCAAGATTAAGATGCAAAGCTCCCATCAGTGTCCGATAACAACGATCAGTAAGGGGTGTAATAACCAGGCGACTGCTGTTTCCCAGATACTCGTACCCGTAATTCCGTGCAGCATTAACCATTTTTACAATTACCTGCGATATTGTCATTCGTAACTTAGCAAACCACAACCAGAACTTCTCCGTACCTCGTTTTCTTCAAGGTAGTACCTCAATTGGCTGAGCCATTCAAAATCTGTTTCACTGGAGACTTGCTTTTCCTTCAGAAGAGTGACAACGTCCCTTGCATGAACATCAATGACAACCAATGCCCCAATCGTCAACCTCTCCATATTGCTTATGTCGCCTCGAACCTGCGGCAAATCAGTGAAGACCAAAGCTAAAAAGAGCTTACCAGTTTTACGAGTGATTGTAGCTGGTCAGTACATTTATCCTCGTACTTTTGCAGCCCAGCAGTTCCTCCTTCAATTATTGCACTTGCTACTTCCTCTGTCCAGTATATTTGCGACCCACACAAAACGATCATACCGGGCCACTTTAGAATCCAACTCTCGCGAGGCTCAACTGCATAATCGGCAGCGGCTTGCACAACAATGGCCTGTAAGGGCGAGTGTTAAAACGACGTAAGACATGGCGAAAGGAGAACTGTACCCTTAAGCATTCTTTCATCATTGCTTCGACTTCTATGAGCCACTTCTCCACGTTGCCTCCTGCGGACTTTGGGTTGTGAGTACGAGTGAATGGTACTTTCTCCGACTCCACGCTCAGCATGGCAGTTATGTCCAAGTTTGGCTGGAACTCGAGCTGGTTGATTCCCTCGAAACACTTCTTTAAAAACGGCTGCACTCTGAGCGGATCTTTTGTCTCCGACAATATTTCCAAAAGTTCGTCATTTGAAAGGAAAAAGAACCGAGGAAATGCAAGACGTTTTGTCTCTAGATAATGGTTGAGACCTTTGTTGACAATCTCAAGTTGCGCGTTTCCTTCTTTGAGATCAGCCAAAAGATTTGGGATATCGGCAGCCTGAGCAGAATAGTTAATGTCAACGTTCATTGGCCCAACGGTTCTCATACCTCTAGCATGCATTTTGTTTTGATAACTTCTGCTACAATCCTTCTCCACACTTTATCCGTTGCATGAAATGCAGTTCCTTCTTTCGGCATTTGCTCGATAATATCAGGTGATCCAAAAATTGGCTCCAGATACATCCATGCCGCTTGCATTTTGAGCCACTCCCGCAGAACGTCTTGCATCAATGTGATCTATGAAAACAACCACGTCAGTATAGGTCTACCCAAACGGAAACTACAACCTTTTTGAGCCAAATTCCTATCCGCTCTGAGAAAAATTGAGCGAAAGCAGAGGAGAACATGTTCTGTGTTTTGATTATATGTTCCTCCAAAAGGATTTGTGCTTCTTCTATGGGGCCACCTTTCAAAATGTGAGTTCCTGTGTTCTTGTACAAAGCATACTGCTCGAAATTGGAAACAAAAGAAAAAGGAAAAGATGAGCTACAATAACACATGGTGCTGCTTAAGTACCTCGAAAGCTATAGGAGCCCAGTCCGCCTCCATTTGGTTCAATGCCCTTTCTAGCGAATACTCTTTGCTTGCATGCTCACTTATTTCCTCCAGCTTTGTTAGATGCTCGTCAATCTGAAAAGAAAATTGTCATAAGCGTACTACAGTTTAAGTCTCACAGATACCAACATTTAATCTGAGCAACTGTCTGAAAGATATTGTGTCTTCGGCTTTAAGTTCGAAACCAACAATCTGAGAAATCTTTTCAAAGTGCCTAGCTCGAAGACCTGCACATTTATTAGTAGGTGAAAAACACGAGAGTCATCCGTCAAATACCTGGATTACAAAGACAGCGAAGAAGAGGAAACGTTTCCTTGAACTTCTCCATCTGTGCTTTGACAGCACTGGCAACCCTTCCCGGTTCCGGATAGTCTTCACCAAATTGCTTTACAAGCTTGAAAATCACTCGAAACATTGTCGAAACCTGGAAAGGAACCAAAGGTCAGAAAGGTGCATTTTTTGTTTAAATGATACGCCACCTCTCCCTCAATTTTCTCAGTATCCAGCGAGAAGAATGGTGCGCTCATCCATTCCTCTTCAAGTCTTTTAAAATTGGCTCCGACAGTCCACAACTTGAAGAACGGATCAAGGGCAGTAATCATCTGTTGTATCTGCGTGAACTTCGTTGGTGGTACGCCAAAAAGGGTTTCCTCGGCATTTAAAGCCTCGGAGGTCTCCAGAGCTGCTTGTAATCCATTGTTCAGGTCCTACAGGGAAAATAGTCATACTAAGAATGCCAGATACAAAGCAGACAACTAGCATACGGTAACATCATCGGAGATAGCTTCAATCTTATCGAGGTCGGCAATTGTGATATAGCTTTTTACTCGCACATCAAGACTGCAGCACGAGTGTTAAAGTTTACATAGTCAAAAGAAAAACAAGCGTTGATACGAACCTTTCCAACAATGCAAAAAAGTCGATACGGCGCTGCTTGAGTTGTGTTTCGTAGTGCTCGTACTCTTCAGTAATTCTTTTAGTATGCACGTCGATCACAGCCCGAACTCTTTTCGGCCATTCATATGCGATCAACATCGTCCGGAATTCGGTTTCAGGAATATTTAGCTGGTAGCGGTCTAGAAAGTCTTCTCGTTGCCTGTTCTCTCCTAGGATTCTCTCTAAAACTGAAAGCTCGGTGGGAGACGCAGCAAGAAACCTGGTTGCAAAAATGAGCTAGAAACATCGTCAAAACTAAAATTATCTTACTTTCGCAAGTAGACAGCTTCTTCGGAATTTGTGGGAATTTTTATGATCTCTCTGGCAATGTGCTCCATGCGTTCGAGCACATTTGTATTAGCAGCATGCATAAATGCGAGTACCTACATTGCATCTTGAGTGATTGTATAAAATCACAAAAGCCATACCTGCTCTTTTAACAGTAGTGCAATATATCTCGCCTTCTTTATCAAGATATCTTTGTACTCCTTGCACTTCACCCGCACAATGCCACAGTCCACTACGTTTGCGCTTGTAGCCTCAATCTGAATTTCCTTCTCGCTGAACTGTTTAAGAACCTCTTCATACTCTTGAATCGGTTTTTCTTGGGCCTTAAATTCTTGGGCAAATGCTTGTGCTGACATGTTTGCAAGAGCTTCAAAAGGCACATACTTGTCCATAAGCTCTTTAGGATAGTTAACATTTGATTGCACTACCTGCAAGCATATCAGAACTTGAGAAAAAATTGGGCTTTATAAACAATTCATATATTAGAGCAAGGAAATGAGAAAGCACCTGCCTTATGTGGCCTTTGGCAACTCCAACAAGCTCGTCATCCACAGCCATGCTCGACAATAAGCGTCGTGATGGCTCTAAATCTTCAGCATCGACACGATGAACACCAGCGCTTTGAGCCACTGCGTATTCTAGTACTTCCACAAGGCCGAGTTCTAGCGCGTCGTAAGACGGCTCGACTCTGCCATATAGTAGATTAAAGCCAAAAGTTTTGAGCTCATGCTGAGAGTAACATACCTGTAGACATTTTTCTCAAACTTTAGAGTCGTGTAAAACGGAGGAGTAGCTTTGAGTGTCGCCTCGGAAGGCATGTCTTTCCCATACTGAGCCCGGAACAGCTCCTTGAATCTCTGCAGTCGCGGAGTCAGTTTATGATGAACAGTCATAATACTCTCGCGTGGAATCTCGTAGATTTCCCCCTTATAAACGTCGATGAAACGAACAAAGTTGACAACAGAATCCTCCACCAGCCTTCTGATTTGATTCGACATAAGAACTGCCATGGCTTCGTAAAAACCGATGAGATCAGTGTTGGGAGGAATAGGAACTGCCTGCTCCAACACGGACGAAGCCGTAGATAACCACTCGGTGTCTAGCGACTCCCTCACGGCTCCAGCACACTGCTTACCCCGTTCGATAAAGTCATCTAGCTCATAAGGTGCTCCAGCAAAGAACTCAGGTGTTGTTGTGTCGATGAGAAACTTTGCTGCATATAAATCCTGCCAGAGAAATGCAAGCTCCAAAGCCTGTGGATTGAGTTTGTGCAAGGTTCCAGAGACCCCGCCGTGTGCGCTTAAGACAGCCTCCCTCCATTCTGCTGACAAAATCTGTATAGTCCGCGTCTTCCCAATAAACCCGGTCGTGACCACTTCGAGAATCTGCTCGATCTCAGTAAGTCCCAGTCGTATTCTCTCCTTCTCGTCCTGCAAGACGTGGACTTGAAACGTAAATCACGAGTGCAAAAACGTTTCACAGGTGAGTTAGTGTTCCACTGTAAACAAAGTTGTAAGGTTTGGAATATCTATACGAAAAGCAAAGAAAACGAACCTGTAATACGTAATCCACAATGGCTTTCCGCATGCTCAAGAGGTACTCATGCTGAACCTCTTCAAGAACCCGCCGCAAAGTAGCTTGAATAACCCGTTCTGAGAGCCCCCTCTTGACGTACTTCCCCACCATATCAACCGCCCGTTTTGTCCACCTCTCTCTTATCGGAGCGATAAAACGCTCGTCCACGCCACTCTCAACGTAGAACTGGTACCTCAAGATATCTTCAGCCACTTTCATCATGTTTGGCGGAATCGGAGGAGCACTGACGGCCAAAGTATGCATACTTCGAGGACTCTCCACCACCCTCGGGTTGAGCTGCCCAAGATTGATCAAGCCAATGGGCTTAAGAGCTGGAGTATTCCTCTTGAGAGAAGATATCCTGGATTCTTCTTCTTCTTCGTCTTCTGTTAAGTAAGGAGTGAAAACCGGAGAGCCAACTAGACCTTTGGACTTTCGTCTCCGTGGAGGACTTGGCACTGGTGGATACGAAGGCAGCGTGTACTCAAAGTAAGGAGAGTCCAGCGCTGGATCATAGCACCTGTTATAATGCGCTGGCCTCGTGTCCGAGTTCTTCCAAGCGGGCCTCTTCACAGTAGGAAATACTGGCTTCTCGTAAGAAGTTGAAGTCAATTGCCTGCTCTCCATGATCTTCTCGGAAGCACGCATTTCACTCATCTCCATGGTTTCCGGACTGCAAGATCATATGTGAGCTTCAGTTCTACGAACAAGTATAGATGGTCTTGCCTGAAGTAAACTCCGATTCGATTGGAGGGTGCTCGACAGTAAACCCTTTGGTTGATTCCAGCAGGTATAGATTTCGTGAACAAAGATTCCGGGCTCAAAAGTGGAGGCAAATCCGACATTCTCATCCCCATCTAGAATGGACAATAAGAAGTGAATGACATAGACTCGAACGGAGAACATACCAATTTTCTCTTCTTCACAGCTTCTTCCAGCTGCTGAAAGTAATCGGGCTCATCCTCAGCCTCCATGAGCTGCAAAGAAAAAAAGAGATTGTGACAAAGAACAGCTAAAACTCTATAGTCACTTACAGGTCTTTTAGCTGGAGTCGCTGCTACTGGAGGAGGCTTGTCGACGATCGCCTCTTCATCCTTGCCCCTGCTAGCTTCCTCCCTCCACAGCGAGGCTCGCCTCAGCGATATTGTGGCCCGCTGCTTCCACAGCGAACCCCCGCGGCTGGCTCGCGGATCCTGGCTCAACTCCGGGCCCTTGGCCGCCTCGGCCGCCAATGCTGGATCAGCGCTCATCCTGGAAGCGCGTAGAATCTCTCTGTCGATCCCCCGAGAGCGCGCGATTCCACTAAACCCTAGATGTCGATCGATGCAGCTAGACCTGAATGCGGAGAATGAGCGCGATCACGCGATCACACAAGGGAGGAGCAAAGATTTCTTCCAGAATTCCTGCCCTAGTCCCTAGTCCTCAACGGATCCGGCTGGATCCGCTGATTCAAGAGAACCAGACAGTTGGAAATGTGAACCATTTCTAATCTCGCGCAATTCCAACCGTCCGTTGCCCAGAGCCCATCCCTGCCGTCCAAACCTCTTAGCATTGCGAAGGATATTCGTTTCATAGGGTTAGGGCTTTAGCCGTCGGCTGGTTTGGAGGAGGAGCTGCGCCTTCGCGCCGATGGGTAAGCACTGCTCGATCAGCTCAGGCGCTCGCATTTCTCTCGCGGCTGATCGCATTCCTTCCTCTCTCTCCAGGTGCCTACAAGTACATCGAGGAGCTATGGCGGAAGAAGCAATCCGATGTGATGCGCTTCCTGATGCGCGTCCGCTGCTGGGAGTATCGCCAGCTCCCCGGAATCGTCCGTATTCAGCGCCCGACTCGCCCTGACAAAGCTCGTCGCCTGGGATTCAAGGCCAAGCAGGTAAAATTTCTCCTTTCTTCGTGTGTGCTAGCTCTTTGATCGTTTCGTGCTCGAATCCTCACAGGGATACGTTGTCTACCGTGTCCGTGTGCGTCGCGGGGGCCGAAAGAGGCCAGTCTCCAAGGGAATTGTCTATGGAAAGCCCAAGAACCAGGGTATCACCCAGCTCAAGTTCCAGAGAAACTTGAGATCCGTGGCCGAGGAACGTGCTGGGCGCAAGCTGGGCAATCTCCGCGTCCTCAACTCCTACTGGATCAACCAGGTACTGCTAGACTCTTCCGATTCTTCCAGCTCTAAAACTGTGGAGAACTTTGGATTCCAGGACTCGACTTACAAGTACTTTGAGATCATCCTCATCGACCCAATGCACACCGCGATTCGCAAGGACCCAAGGATCAACTGGATCTGCCAGCCGGTTCACAAGCATCGCGAGCTGCGGGGGATCACGTCCGCCGGTCGCAAGCACCGCGGATTGCGAGGGAAGGGTCACAGGAATCACAAGAACCGCCCATCGATCCGTGGTACATGGAAGCGCAACAACACGCTCTCCCTCCGGCGCTACCGATAGAGAAGAAATATCGAACGAAAGAGCTCTTCGATCATATGGGTCGATCCTTCTCTCTTTTTTGGTTCCTGGAGTTCATCAAAAGCTACTTTCTAAAAGTTTCTCTATAGATTTTGTTAGATCCATCGTTGCCGTTGATTGGATTTTGTCAGATCCATCACTACCGTTGATTGTTTTGGGCTCATCGTGGCCGTTGCTCTTGGCGCCAAGCCAGCGAAGTGTTAGAAAATCTTGGCCGTGGATCTCCAGTGAACCGCAATTTACCTCCATCTCATCCCAAGAGCCATGGAGCGATGGCGCAGCAGGGCATTAGGGAAATCTTTGCGCGGCAGCGGCAGTGGTGGCAGCGATGGAGGTGGATCTCACCGACATGGACGTCTCGGACAACGAAGGCGAAGGGCCTGAATCCAGCGGCGCGCTTGGGGTTGCATCGTCAACGCTCAAGCCGGTAGTGGAGCTCGTCATGGCGCCCGTGGAGGCGCTGGAATCCGTGAATTCGGCGTCCACGTCGGGGAAATCCAAGGATGGGACGCCGTCGCAGAAGGAGATTCTTGTGGAGGTGAAGAGCCAGGAGAATCGAGACGATGATTCTTCGCTGAGGCCGGTCGTGGTGGATTTGCAGCAGATGAAGCCCTTGCCGTATCGAGGAGGATTTTTGGACAAGAGAAATGGTACGTTCTTAGTTTCTCTTTATTGCTATCTTGTGCGTGTTTTCTATAGCTCATTTGTGATCCTCTTCCATGCATCATACTTCATCCTGAGCTTCAGAAACTCTGGTAAAAGTTTGTGTTCTTAGTGCGTTTTGGTAGAGAGTCTAGTGTAATGCCTTTCGCTATCCATATAGTTTTGTGTTGTGATCTTAACGTTTGTGTTCTTCGTGCGTCTAGTGATCGTGCACGCTATCCATATAATTTTGCGTTGTGATTATAGTGTCATGGGCTAACATGAAAAACATTTTCAGGCACCAAGTACCTCCATGCTGGAATGCAGACGGACAGAAAGCCAAAGCCCAAGAAGAACATCCAAATGTTTAGCCGAACCACTCAGAAGTGCTTGATGAGGAACCAAAACTGGAACACTATCCGGGAGACCTTCACTCAGATGGATCGCAGGGACCTTATTCTGGACTGGAGCAGAGACTATGCTCGTGTTCCGGGGAGATACGTTGATTCTGTTGAATGGGAACAGATTCGTCGTCGGGCTTCCATCGTTATTCAAAAGTACACTCGGAGGTGGATCGCCCAACGAAACGCTGACAGGATACGAGGGTTTGTCAAGTCCAGGCTTGAGGTTTGCTTTCAGGGCCAAGGCTTCATTCGGAACTTGACAAGAGCTGACGTTGCTCTCTCCAGTTTTTCGAAGACCAAGAGAAGACTCAGAAGGTCCAAGAAGAAGACGCTTTGCAGCGTGAAATTGAGAGAAGAATGTGTCCACGGACTAGTGCAGACTTTGCCATCCTCTATGAGGAGCTCGAGGCTTGGAGAGTCCAGGTAAGGCTTTGTAGTGATTTTTTTTCTTTTTAATTTGCTCACACGTTTTCTCGTGTCTTGCAGGAAATGGAGAAGCTTAATGCATGCAATTATGGCTACAATGAACGGGTGAACGCACTCCGGGAGCTCTTAACTAAGGTTAGTCACAGAAGAGAGAAAAAATATAGATTTGATGCCTATCGTGTGATTCTTGCAGGAATTGAAGCTCTTGACTGCAATTGATAAGCTGAGAGCTACTGCCGCCAAGGCAAATCGAAAGGATCGGATCAAAAGAACCATGCTAAAGATGTGTGCTCCCAAAGTCTGGGAACTCACTAATGGCAAGACTGTGCAAGTTCGGACTCCTGCTACAGCTCGTGCGTCGGACTTGATGCATGTAAAGTATCAAGCTTTACTGATTTCTTTCTTTTTCTTTCTCATTGGAATGACTTTCTTGTGCACAGCTTTACACAGCTCTAGGAAAGGAGGTCACTAACATCGACGAGAGAATGGCTGTCCTTGGATACGTCAAGTGGACTGTCCAAGAGTTTACGAATCCTCTCACGAAGGAGATTTTGCTACTGATAGAGAGAGAGGCGGACCTTATGTATAGGAACCGGCCAGCGAAGTCGCTTGCTGGTCTCCGGCATCGCATTCTCGCACTCTTTCTTCACGTAAGTCACTCACGCTACACTACTTGCCGTTCTCACAAACGCTTTGCTACAGTTTATCGAGACCCCCGAGTTTAGTCCAGAAGCAGCCGCACACCAGTACGTCCACAACGACTATGATTTCAAGCAGAAGCAATCCATGCTCCGGAGGGATCAACCGTTAGAGGTGAGCCAAAAAGCCTCGTAGACACTGCCTTGAAGGAGCTGGAAGTTCTTCGTCTCCGGCCACGCGGTAGCTATTTCTCTATCAACTGGTTCAGGGTCTCCATGACAAAGTCAGTAAAGGCACGCTGTTCTCGGGCTTCTCGAAGCACAGCCAGGGCGCTCAGCCGGGTGAAAATCTCACGCTGGAACTCGAGCTCGATCTGGGACAACGAGGGATCTGGAATGGCAGCGACGCCAGAAGGCCAGCAGCAGCGATCAAGGCATGTTGGTCGCCAAGAAAGTGGAAAAAGGGAAGAAGAGTACGTAGCGCCGCCATTAGATCTATACGTTGGATAAATCTTACAAGTTAGTTGATAAAGTACTTCAGCTGAAAATCTTTACCATAGAAAACAAGCAGAGATGTCGATTTCGGTTTGTAGCTCGCCATTGCCGCCTCACTTCCTTGCAAACAAAACCAAAACTTATAGAAAGTCCTCTTTTCATTTTTATTCCTTTTTCTTTGCTCACTTGCTTGGCCTCAAAAACGACATCTAGAAACGAAACCTCTGGAAAGAGTTACCGACAAATTAACAGACAACATCAAACATACTGTTCTCGAATGGACCGGGCGTCCTTTTGGAGTATCGGGCGTCCTTTTGGAGTCCTGTGAATCCAGCATTGCGAGCACGCATTTCCCTGGAGAAAATTCGTGTATGAAACAGAAATTTCCTGGAGCAAATGCTTCAGTACGGGCAAATGCGAGTGAGGTCCGCTCGGGCATATAATCATTCATAAGAACAGATCATAGCATGAAGAGAAAAACTTCCGTACAAAGAAGGCCGTGACGTGGCGCGCTGGCCGCCGATAGTTGACTTAAAGCTTGCGTGGCGAAAGATTACAAGTCAAACTAGTCAACCGTAAAATTACACGCAGAGAGTTGCCACTGTCGAGATTCCAAACAAGAGCACGAAGCCAGACAATCTCCTGTGCTTCCGGAAGAAGCATTTCTCGGCTGTCACCCGAAAGAAAAAAAAAATGTTTATTCTACCGCAAAGCTTTCGCAATGTTCAAAAAGAAGAAAAAACACTTGCCTGTTGCTATCATCGCCGCCAAGCAAGTCCAAATCGCCACAAGTTTCTCACTGCTCACTGCTCCTCTGAAAGCCAAAGCTCACGAAACTATATAAGAAGAGACCAAAAACAAACAGCAAAGAAACTTACAAGCTCACGAACACGGCGGCGGTGGCGAGGAAGCAAACGAGGCCGAGTCCAACTCCATAGAATTCGATCCCCAGCTTGTCACCATCTTTCCTCATCCACGCCGCGATACAGTATCCCAGATGGAAAGCCGAGAATGCAAGCAGCACTCTCGCAGCGACGAGGGACGAGTGCTTCTCTCCACTGTTGTTGTTGTCTCCGTGACCACGCCAGCCCCTTCGGTTGTTTCCATCGTCATTGTTGTTGTTGCCGGATCCCCAATCGTTGCTACTGGTGCTGCAAATCTCCCCCGGCTGCTGGAAGAGCCGGAATCGCCCACCTGGAGTGAACTCTAGAACTCCGCTCGGCAGCTCTCGGATCACAGCCGGGAAAAACTCTGGCGAAGTGTCGTCTTCTCTGAAGCAAAGCACCGAAGGATGGCGGTGGCGAGAAGCTCTTGCGTTTGCTCTCGGGAGAAGCGAGCGCGTCCTGGCGAAACTGGACGACGAGAGCATCATTCTCTTCTGCTGCCGCGCAGAGAGCTCGATCGCAATGCCCTATGCTCTGCTTTTAAAGTACCACGGAGAAACTGGCGTGCTCAGTGCGTACTCTGCTCCTGAGAGAGCCAAGCTCTAGAAAGACATGTAAGGCACTGCTTTACGAAACCAGAAACAGGAAACCGGAGAAAGAAAACCAAAACAAACAAGAGGAAGAAAAGCACCACTTACACAGATGATCCATCCGAAGTTGACATGGAACTTGAAGGCCATCACGCTGGCGGTGTGACGAATCTACCCGAAATGCTCCATGACGCTTGGCCATCGCTCCACAAATCTTCTGGTACATATACAGCTCTCATGCCAGGCGCATGGCGAGCAAAGTATCGCAAGCTTCCGTGGAGGAAAACTTTGATGGCGCGGTACCATGAAAACGCCACTTCCATCAATCCGTTTTGCAACGCTCATCAGGACACCGGGAAGGTGCTTCATCGCAACGGCACTGCTGAGAGCGACACTGTAGAGACTAGAATTCACACGAAAGTTACCCCGTGTTGTGTAGTTTCCCGGCAGTAAACTTGGTTTTTACGTAATGCCGGTTTTCTCGAAGAGTTCCTTCCTTGGCAGCTTCTCTCGATGACCTTTTGCGCTTTCATCGGATGCACGATCCTTAGACTAAGCCAAACCGTGAGACAAGCAACACTAAGATCGAGAAAACTTTTAAAACATAAAGAAACCACTTGTTTGAGCCTCCCCGAAAAAACAAAAGAAAATAAATTGCATGCGTCAATAACTACTCGCGCATCGAGACCACACCGTGCAAGCATAAGAAAATCGTGAGAGAACATCAGGGTTAAAGCTTACATTGAGTTGCTTTCACATGTCCTTTGTTATTTTTCGTCCAGGCCGAGGCCGATCGAAGGTTCTAAGAATTCTTTCTTAGTGATCAAACAGTCAAGAAGAGAAATAAACACACAAATCCCTCAAGCTTTTGCTCAAAATGTGGCTCTCTCCACCACAATCGCTCGAAAACAGTCACCCGCACAATATTTGAAACTTAAATGCGGCATACCGGTGGATATAAAAACCCTAAACTAGTTCTAAAATCCTAAAGGGAGGTCAATTGGATGGATATTCGCTTTTCCCTGTTTAATTGCTAGCAGCAAATCCACAGGAAAGCTTTTTGGAGCGATGGTCAGCTCTCCCAGCTTCTCGGCCTCCACCGCCAGGCGATTGAATCGCGTCTCGGCGATGACGAGCGCGCGGATGGATCCGCTGCGCAGCGTCACGACTGGGATCTGCGTGGAGAAGCACTCGTCGATCGTCAGCTCCTCCAGCGCCGGGCAGCACGCCACGAATCTCTCCAGGTCGTCGCCGTGGAAGATCACATTGGCGAAGCGGCATTTCTTGAGCTCCGGGAAGCGGCAGCCCTGGGGGATTCCATCGAAGTATCCAAACTCGAGCGAGAGGGAGGAGAGCCTGGGGCATCCGGAGAGAGAGGGGAGGAGCTCCGAGAAGGCGCAGCCCTTGTTGCTGAGCTTGAGCTCGCGGACGCTGGCGCTAACGTGCTGGATCCATAGCTGGACGGCATTCTCGCACAGACACACGAGCGATGGCTCCGTGGGCGAGAATCGCAGCGATAGCTCGCCGATGCCGCCGCCCTGGACCCTGGAGATGGCCGCCCAGACGATCTTCTCGGCGTCGAGCGACCTCACCACGCAATCCTGCTTCCACGACTTGGGGAAATCGAAATGCAGCGCCGGGACGCGCGCCGTCCAGCGCCGCCAGTCCCGCGACACGGCCGAGCAGCGCAGCAGCGCCTTGGCGTCCCTGATCTTGGACAGAATGCTGTCGACGATGAGATCGTCGGGGAGAGATTGGAAATCAGCCATGAGAGATCTAAGAAGTAGTAATCCAAAGAGTCTTGCAAGAACAAGATCACACTCTGTTCGTGGGAAATTTATAGTACCATTGGGCCCTATCGCGATGGGCCACTGGCAGTGTCGTACGAGTACGCCAAAACTAGCTTATGGTTACTCTTATGGTAATAGATTGTCGGAGCCCACGTGCTCCACGGCCCCCTTCTAGAAGCTGGTCCATGTGCCTGGTTGACCTAATTTTAGGGTTATGAGCCAACCCTAAGTTACTCTTTATAATCTGGGTAGCAAAAGGAGAGGATCTCGATCTATTAAGTACCTGGCCCTGGAGAATGATGGAAACTAAAGGACAGTCTCCCTAGTGACATACATCTCGTAAAACACTGTCTTCTCGTCACCTTTGGGAGCTAACTCCATACTCGGGAACGAGAAGCCACCATCGCCATCTTCTTCAAGTTCTTCTTCTTTCTTTTGAGGCTGGCACAGCCATCCCGCACGGATATGCTTGTCCTCCACCGTCGGAGCTGGGAAATGGTTTTGCGGGCCTGTATGTCATTGTCGCATTTGATGATCCACTAGAAAAATCCTGGATTTCACTCATTGACTAATAAAACTTCAATGATATAATCATATGAAGTTTTTTCACACGTAATTTTCGCAACCTCTTTGCTAGGGTTTTTGGCATGGGAAAGAGGATGGCTATGGAGCAGCTCAACAAGGCGCTGTGGTGCGACCGGGAGATCTTCGCCACCGGAGGTGAGATTGACGTAGCAAAGTTTCGGATGCCAGCATCGCTGCATGTGGAGGGTGCCGAGAGGATCAGTCTTCCACTTTCGCCGCTAGGTCTCACCAAGATAAAGTCCGTGTCCCAGCAAGCTCCATACGGCCTTGGGGAGAGAACTCTCGTCGACACGGATGTGAGGCGAGCTTGGCAGATCAATCCCGACAGGGTCTCTTGCCCCGAGGTTATAAACTTCTTCTCGTCGGTGGCTCGCGACTTGGCCGCGCATGGACTCGCCGCCATGGGGCTGGATTCCACTGCTCTGGAGCTCGACGTCAAGCTCTACAAGCTGCTGCTCTACGAGGCTGGCGGCCACTTCAAGTTCCACAGGGACACGGAGAAGGAAGATGGCATGTTTGCGACCATGATCTTGCAACTTCCGACGAGCACGGGACACAGCGGCGGGGCTCTCGCGGTCCGACAGGGACGGCAGTGCTGCGAGTTTGATTTCTCGGACGGGAGCTCCAGCCGCTACTTCTCGACGATCTTCTTTTGCGACTGCGAGCACCAGCTCAAGGAGGTGACGAGCGGGTCGAGGTTGTGCCTGGTTTTTAGCCTGGTGAGAAACAACGTGGAGTTTATACCCGCGGAGAACGTCCCGTCGTTCGTCTCGGCTCTTCCCCGAGTGAGAGCTCTCTTCCAGCAATGGGCTGCTGGCACTGGTGATGATCAAGCAGATCAAGCAGAAGGTGATGATAACGAAGCAGAAGGTGATGATATAGATGATGATAACGAAGACGATGATATGAAAGACGATGATGACGAAGACCATAGCGATGATGATGGTGTCCGTGTTCAAGACGTCAGCAAGAGTGACAGGAAGGGTCGTAAGCTACTGGCGGTTCCTTTGGCTCACAAGTACTCAAAGACGAGCTTGTCTTTCGCGGGGCTCAAGGGTCACGACCGTGTGGTGGCCGCTCTCGTGAGAGCTTGCGAGTTTCTAGAGCTTCATCTCTGCATGCTCACCAAGCACAAGACCGTGGCGGACGAGCCCGAGGTCGAGTACGTGATTCACAATTGGATCACGGTGGACAACCAGCCAGCAAAGTTTAAGAAGTGGAACATAGACATCAAGCAAGAAGTTCTCAGGGCCTCTCGGACAAAGACAGCTATCGATGATGATTATGACGACGAAGACGC